TCAAAATATCACCTGCAGTTAGGTTACGCTCTTAAAGGTAGTGATCTGAGGATCACTCAGGCCCGTGAGGAGGGCAGAGGCTATTCTGGGTCGTGGAGTTCGGCCCCCAGCATTGCTGGCCCATGTCCTCCAGTCCCTCACAAGCTGCAGGGGGTTACTGGTAAAAGAAGACCCTCTAGATCCTCTAGGCATTTTTTTTTCCTGCTCCCTGGAAAAAACCCTGAAAGTTTGCTTCAGCAAACTGATTGACAAGGACAAGAGGTGTTTGAAGGGCTCAGTTCCTAAACAAGCTCTGAATCCCAACCTGCAAGTTTGGACTAAAGGACTCAGCAGCTTAGCTCAGTCCATGCCGTCCGCGTGGCCCTGCTGGAGGGACAAGGTGCAGGGTCCGCGCTGGAGGAAGGTGCTCTGGGAGCCCCGAACCTCTGCCCTGCACAGGGCAGAGCTGGGAGAGCTCTGCTGCCTGAAGTCAGCGAGCTGGGATGGGTGGGAATACAGGGGAACTGATCTCCAGCCATGTGGACGACGCTCCCTGAATTTTCTCTTCCCTGTCTGGGCAGCTTTGTGGTCTCTCTGCAAGAAAGGAGGAGTGTGAACATAAGAGATGTGAAGAATTCTTTGGGGAAAAAAATGTGAAGAATTCTGTGGTGAAAGAGTTGAGCCCAGCCTTTTCCACCAGGAAAAATTAATGCTTGTCCTTTCTGCCAAGAGATTAAGATGAACACATGGCACCTGCCAAATTCAGCGGAGCAACAGTTGGTGCACGAACATGTCACCTGCTGATCTTGAGAGGAGAGGCCCTGGGGAAGGGGAAAGCGGAGGACAGAAATTGGCAGCAGGGAGGTTTACCTCGCCTGGACCCTGCACCCCGTGGAGCTGTGTCCCGTGTGCCTGGTGTGGTGGGACCACCCGAGTGGCCTCCACCAGACAAGGTCCCTTTGTGGGAATGACGATTGCCATATGCAAATGGCCTCTTTCTGGTGTCCAAAAATTCTTTGCCCGGTTGCAAAGGAAGCGCCCCGCGAGGCAGGAGCTGAGCGGGGGCTGCCTCACCGCTCTCACCTCGCGCTCTGGCTGAAGCAGCCGCCCTAAGGCAGATGGTAGCGGCTTGGAAGAATGGGGGGTT